GTTTCCATCGCTGATAAAACAGTGGTTATACCCCTGGTCCCCTATTCAACCCCTATCCGGCGTCATACCCCTATTCCCTATTAATACCCCTATTCAACGTCAGTCTCTTGACTCAAGTTATTCCGCAAGACATGTCTTTGGCCACCCTATCTCTGCTTGACAGCTGCAAAGTTACTGGTTTGGACACCTATTCTACGTCCCCCTGTCTTGGCCGCAATTACACTCTGCCTGCCGATGACATTAACAAGATGATTGCTCCCGATCTTACCCCAGCGCAAGCTGCCGGTCTCTGTCGTCTGCTAACATCATATAGGGACGGCCATATTCGACATTGACCACCGCCCTCTCGGCCAAACAACTGCCGTGACTCACCGGGTCAACACTGGTGATGCCAGTCTTATATGGCGGCATTCATATCACGTATCTCACAAGAAACGCCAAGTAATTGAAAATGAAGTGGACAAAATGATTACTAAAGACGTCATAGAACAATCATCCAGCCCCTGGGCCTCCCCAGTCGTGCTCGTTGAGAAGAAGGATGGCAGCTGGCGCTTCTGCGTGGACTGTCGCCATTTGAACAATGTCACTCATACAGATGTCTACCTTTTGCCCCGGATTGATGACGCCCTCGATTGCCTCCATGGTGCCCAATACTTCTCGTCTGTCGACCTTGGTCGGGCTATTGCCAAATTTTCGTCAACCCTGTGGACCGTAAAAAAAAAAACGTTTTCGTTACGCACGACGGCCTCTACCAGTTCAAGGTCATGCCATTCGGAGTATGTAATGCACCGGCAACTTTCGAGCGCATGATCGACTCTGTTCTCCGAGGATATAAGTGGTCCATCTACTTATGTTACTTAGACGATGTCATCGTCTTTTCACCTACCTTTGACAGCCATATAACACGTCTGTTGGCCATTCTGGATGTTTTTCGAAGAGCCGGTTTCCAGCTCAATCCTGCAAAATGCCATTTCGGACGTCGCCAAATCACCATACTCGGCCACCTTGTCAGTGCCGCTGGTGTTCAACCGGATCCCGACAAGGTGAGAGCAGTACAAGAATTTCCTAAACCACGTTCAACCAAGGACGTCCGAAGTTTCGTAGGGATGTTCCTATTTTCGTCGATTTGTCCACAACTTCGTTAACATCGCTCAACCGCTTACTGATCTCTTAAAGAAGGGCGTTCCCTTCGCATAGGGCGTAAAGCAAGCGGACACTTTTTCAGCTCTTATCATCTGCTGACTATGCCACCAGTACTGGCCCATTTCGACCCTGCATCACCTACAGAGCTTCGAACCGATGCTAGTGGCCATAGAATTGAGTCGGTCCTCGGGCAACGACAGCACGGGAAGGACCGCATGATTGCTGATGCCAGTCGTCTTCTTTCACCTGCCGAACGGAAGTTCTCCATCACTGAGCATGAATGCCTAGCTTTAGTGTGGGCCGTGACAAAATTCAGGCCATACCTAGGTAAGTATAGCCGAACTTTTTCCGTTGTTACTGACCATCACGCTCTCTGTTGGCTCTCATTGCTAAAGGACCCATCTGGACGCCTCGGTCGCTGGATGCTGCGTATGCAAGAATACTCGTTCGTGGTCCACTACAAGTCGGGACACCTGCACACAGATGCAGACTGTTTGCCACGTCATCTGGTTGTAACGCCCGACTTGACAAACCTTGAATCAGACCCCTGCATGCTCTCCATCCACACTTTGGGTGATATCCCCACCAAATAACGACGTGACCCATCGTTACTCTTCATCATCGAGCGTCTGACCTCTGCTCCAACAGATCATTCCGTTCGCCTGTTCGAACTGCACGATAACATTCTGTACCATCGCAGCTTCAACGCCGATGGCCCGGAATTACTACTCGTGCTTCCCCATCACCTGCGTACCAGCGTTCTCGAACAACTCCACGACGTACCTACAGCCAATCACCTAGGCGCCTCTCGTACCTACGATCGTGTGCGACGTCGCTTTTTTTTTTTTTTGCCCGGACTGTATCGCTCTGTGGTTCGCTACGTCACTGCTTGCGACCACTGCCAACGTCGCAAGCGCCCCTCTGTGCTACCGTCTGGCCTCCTACAGCTCATCAACATACCGACGAAACCATTCTTCTGTGTTGGCCTTGACCTGTTGGGCCCATTTTCTACGTCCAGCTCCGGGAATAAATGGGTTGCAGTTGCCACAAATTACGCCACACGCTTTGCCGTCACTCAACCACTGCCAACAAGCTGTTCCACAGACTCCGCTGACTTTCTCTTGTATGAAGTCATTCTTCATCACGGCGCTCCGCGGCAGCTGCTTACTGATCGAGGGAGGTACTTCCTTTCACGTGTTGTGGATCACATTCTTCGTGCCTGCTCCACTGAGCACAAGCTTACCACCGCTTATCATCCACAGATAAATGGATTGACCGAGCGTCTGAACCGAATGCTGACGCAGATGCTGTCAATGTACATTTCACCAGATCACAGTGACGGGGACAAAGCACTCCCCTTTGTCACCTTTGCGTACAACTCTTCACGGCACGACACAGCTAGTTGCTAGTTATTCGCCGTTTTATTTGCTATTTGGCTGACATCTAGCGTTACCATTTGACATGCCCCTTCCTTCGGCTGCCCCCTTGTCTACTGAGTACGCCAGCGATGTCGTTTCTCGAGCCCATGCAGCCCGTCAGCTTGCCCATGATCGGCTGCACTTGTCGCAAGAGCACCAAAAGAACGTTATGACAGTCGCCACCAAAGTGTGCACTTCTTGCCGGGATTTCTCGTACAGTCGAAACCGGCAATAAAGAAACCCCGGGAGTACGAAATCCCCGCGGCAATGAAATATTTTCTGTTCCCCGGCGAACGTTCATAGAAGCCCATGTATTACGTATCTCGCGGCAATGAAATGTTTTTGCACAGTGATCCCACATTAACGAATTTTCTACCATGGTGCGAGCCTTATTTTACCCTCCCGCCAAAGGCTAACTGTAGAAAACATGCTCACATGCGTGTTATGCGTACTGAAAATTTGTAATTGTCTGCTTTTGCCGCGCTAGCGTGGGTACCGCCATTTTTGTTTACATAAATTGGCGATGGGGTCCTTGTCCGGCAACATGCCTGGCCACACTGCAGCAGGCAATGGCAAATGACCATGCTGAAGTGCAGATGGCGCCGTCAGATGAGCTCAACAGGCCGAAGCAACACCAACAGTTAAAATCAATCAATATGACGAAGAGAAGACAGGAACGGGTGGCGAAACGGAGATGAAGTTACCATGGCGCCTGAAAAAAGCTTGACATTGGAAGCGGATTCTTCGTTGATCGCGGAAAAAGAAAAGAATGGCAACAATATCATAATGTTAAGCGGCCTTGTAGCGACACCATTAGGGGGCAACACAATCCCATCCTGCATTGCTTCCGTCATTTCGTCACTTCCGTAGCCTCACACACGTGAGCACTGCGAGTTGTGTTGTGTGTGGCTGTTTGCGTGAAAGTGCTGTGGGTGGCTACCAGCACATCGGCTCTTGCTAAGATGCCCCCGCCAGCCAAAAAGCGGAAGTTTCTGTCGCTTCACGATAAGGCTACCAGTCATTGCCAAAGTTGAAAAGGGCAGGAAGAAGAAGGATATTGCCAAAGAGTATGAAGTTGGGTGCAGCTCGCTTTCGACCAAAAGTGCCACAGCCGAAGCTGATGACAGCGTGCGCAAAGTTGACGACTCCAAGTACCAAGAAGAGACGCATGCGGAGAAACCCAACCTGTGGGTTGTTTTGGATGCGCTGGACACCCTTGATTGATATGTGGGGTTTTACGTCCCAAAACCACCATATGATTATGAGAGACGCCGCAGTGGAGGCCTCTGGAAATTTTGACCATCTGGGATTCTTTAACGTGCACACAAATCTGAGCACACGGGTCTACAACACTTCGGCCTCCATCGGAAATGCAGCCGCCGCAGCCGGGATTCGATCCCACGACCTGCGGGTCAGCAGCCGAGTACCTTAGCCACTAGACCACCGCGGTGGGGTGCGCTGGACATCATTCGCTCCTTCTTCGGCACACATGACCACGACATAGCAATGGACCACTTTTTCCAGTGCGAAGGGAGAGCTTTGAAGTTGTTACATGGCAAGGGTCGGCAAAGTAAGTTGACTGACTTCTGGCAATAAATTTTCGTTCTGCTGGCCGTATCACTTTTTATGTCTCATATTCGCGGCAACAAAATTTTCGCAAGAACGAAATTTTTCGGTTTTCCCGGTAATTTCGTTATTGCGGGTTTCGACTGTACTTCTCTGGATACCAAACCGCCAAGTCGGCTTATCAGAGAAGCTACTACCACACTACCATGGCCCCTACAAAGTGTTACGACAACTCAGTGACGTGAACTACGAGATCAAACCCCTAAACAATGCCTCTTCGACCCCCTCACTCCAGTCGGACGTTGTCCACATTTCTAGACTCAAACCGTATTACCCTGCTAGTTCATAGCCGCTGTACCAAGCGCCGTGACGGCACTTCTGCCGTAGGGGAGTGATGTTACGGTGCACCACCGACAGGAGCAAGCGTAGCACATTGCGAAGAGGACGAAGACGCCTGTGCATTAGACGCCTACACGAGAGGCAGTTCAGTCATCCTGTTCGGCTGCCGATTCTCTGTGGACGCTACAATATAAACCTAGATCTCACCCCGCCACAATATGATAAGCATAAGTGGCCCACCAACCTCGAGTGAGTGCTGTTAGTTTTATTGCCATATGAGTGCTGATGAAGCAGATACGTAATGAGATACATAGTACTGCGAAACAGCTGTAAAATAAGGTAGTTCCTGCAGGGTCACCTAATCAAGTCCTCCATGCAGAGGGCAAACTTTTTAAACAAGTTTAGACAAATGTAGAAAGCAGTGCACTATATGCCGACAGTGTTTTCAGTATTATCGATGGCCTTGACGTTTGTGCAGCGTTAGGTAATGTTTCGTACTACAGTCGGAAACATCTTTTTTTTGCCTTCATATAGGTATCACAAGAATGTGTCAGCCGTGTCGACTGGTGAGAGAGTTAATGAAGCTGATGGTATGGATCCAGAAACGGCTCCAGAAAAAGCTGCCATTCTAAGCTCTATTCCACTTGAGCTGTCCTGTGACCAGTGCACCTTTGGCTGCTCACAGGCCTCTGAATTGGCACAGCACGTTGCATCAAACCACCCGAGTGTACCAATATTCAGGTATGTGTCCATTAAAGGAAAAGAAGGATTACTCCCGATTTTCGTGATTTTATAGACATTGTTATTGCCTTATTAAGCATTGTCTGCAAACATTTCGCTTTCAGAGGCCTTTGCAGTGCTTGAATACTAGTGCTGTTTGCGATATCCTCACAGCGCATTAAACTTGCGTATTCGCTTAGCCACTCTTTCAGAGCGGGTGAGCTATACAGAATTGAAGCATCAAAAACAATTAGGGAGCAGCAATGTTTTTTGTTAGTGAAGCTATGCCGAAATGTTGAAGGCAAATTTTCACTCATTTTGACTCTGAAATTGACCATGTGCGGAAAAGCTTCTGCGCATGCACGGTAACGGCGCAGCTGGCGCCCTCTATGGGCGCTTTGGTTTTGGTTGGAAAACACGAGCCGGGCCGGCCGTCACTCGTGCATCTCTGTGCCGTCACTGAACTAAGTCGCCTCGCTTTAGCAGCGTACAGAAATGCCAGCGCACTGTGTGGCCTACGGCTGCACGAATTATTTTACTCAGAAAGGAAGCACGCATTTCTACAGGTTCCCGTCCGCGAGGCTACGTGCCGAAAAGAGAGATGCTTGGGTAGCTGCTGTGAGGAGACAGAATGCCGACGGTTCGCCGTGGGCGCCCAACAAACATTCTCGGATCTGCAGCGCGCATTCATGGACGGTGCGCACGCCGCTCTCACCAGACCTAGTTCGTCATCAGATGTTTGGAGGTTCAACTTCAAGTGTTTGACGTATCCTTCTTCCTTGAAGGACCAGCCGCGATGAGCCTGGCGAACGGTCGAAGTAGCGGAGTGTAGGTACCGCCACACGTCGTCGTTGCTCAGGCTGCAACGCGAAAAATCCTCGCTCCATCCCGTTTCCACAAACGCGAACGGGATCTTTTCTTCTTCTATCATGTTGTTTCCGTAAGCAGCGCACGTTTCCGGCAAAGAAACAACACTAAATCAATAAAACAGGCGCACGCGAGCCGCCGAACGCTGCCTAGCACATGTTAGTTCACGAATGCCTTTCCAACCAAAAGCGCGAGCGCTGCTTCCCTGTTTAGACGGCAGGTGGCGCTCGCTTTTCCGCAAATGGTCAATTAATGAGATGCAGGGATCTGAAAAAAAAAAAAAAAAAAAAAAAAGTCTTCTAAGCAGCCTCGATTTTCGGATTGGTTACTCGTACTATTTAGTGTACGTGGCCAGCACGATGTTGCAGTGTTTTACAAGCTGTCAGCTGAAGCTTAGCTGAATACCGATTTCTCACAAATGTCATGTCCCGCAAAATTTAGGGCGTGACGGCACAACACAAGATTTCTTACAGTAGCTAAGTGCAGTTTCTTTCTAAAGTCATCTTGGCACAAAATGCAGGGGTTCAGTCTTTCTCGTAGGCCAATGACGCAGCGTAAAGCTCTCTACAGTATAGTGGTGGAAATGGCTACTTCCGTCTTGTTGCAGGTGTAAAAAGTGCGAGCAGCCATTTCTCAAGGAGGCAGAGTGTGAGGAACACATGCAGCTTAAGCATCAGATGATTCATGTGGAGCCCACTTCGGACGGCAACTATGTGTGTCATATCTGCGACCGTGAACTGAAGACGTTCAGCGGCTACTGGGGACATCTCAGAGGCCACACAAAGGCTTGTTTTCGTTCCATCGCCGCCTGGGTTTAGAGTGGACTGTACCGGCAGCAAGTCTACATGCCAGCGCCTCTGCCATCCTTACCTTGAAATTTTGTTACGCTAAATTCTATAAGCGGTCCAGATGAGAATGAGAGCTACCAAACTTACCTACTAGTTATAGTGCACCTCTAGATGACAATTAAGATTAGTCAGACCAGCATAATTTACTTCAAAAAAATGTAAACTCTGTCATGCTTGGCATCGTTAGGGTGACTTGATGGGCAAGTTTGCACATGGTTCTGTTGGCATTCCTTTTACCAAGAACTTCGTTTGTGCTTGCACATTAGTTATATGTGGTAATGAGAAAAGCCAGCATTTTTCTGACAGCACAGTTGTTGCTGGAATGTGGGATTTTTGAATGCAAGCAATGAACAAGGGCCTAATACCACCAAATGTGTTAAATTTAATACTTGGCACATAAAGTTTAGTACTTCTGGTTTTAAGAGATGAGTCCAGTTTAGTTATGTCTCTTGGCATGATAAATTAGCTTCGCTTAAACGAGGCCGTATGTGGCCGTTTATTTAGGCACGTGCAAATAGTGAATTTGAGGTTCAAAGTGAATCTAAAGCGAATAGCGATCTTTGTTGAATATTTCAAATCAAATTCAAATAGTATATATCTTGCATATTGTAAAGCAAAGTGAGCATATTTGTCATCACCTAACCTACAAAATATTTTACGAAAGATTGAAACAAGGCCTGTACAAATGCCTTTTTTTTTTTTTTGCTTCAAGGAAAGTTGAAACAACTTCGAATAGTAGCAGAATTTGGCTTTCGGTAGAGTGCAAGTGATAACTTGTATAGTATGTATGTTTTTAAAATTTCCTATTATAATGAAGGTAGTGGGACATGCGGCTTGACCAAGAGAGAAGAGAAAGACGTTGACGGGCAATAGCCTTTGAGGAGTTGATTAATTGTTCAAAAAGATTCAGATCGTAGAGCCAATTCATACTCCTATTTTCTAAATTGCATTTAAATTCCTAATTATTACTTCCTAAATACCCAGCTCAGAGTTACTACCCTATGTTTTTACTCGTGTATTGGTAGTACGTATGTGAAATTTTGTTACATTACTACTTCTTTCAGCTCTAACTAGATGACATTCAACCTAATGATTAAGAATTTTTTTTTTTATAACTCTTGGCTGACCCCCCCCCCCCCCCCAGCGTGGGTGTGTGCCACTGTCCAAGGTTCTACTCTACTCTACTGTACTCTACACTACCCACCTTGCTAGTTAGACTTTGTGGTTGTAAAACCGGTGTCCAGTTATCGCGACTCCTGCCTTTAACGCACCCTTGTTTGAATTGGTAAAGGTGCTGGGAATGCACGGTTTTGATCCTGGAACTGTGTAGTCGGACACTACCGCGACCTGTCACAATTGCTGATGTGGGATCATCTCTGGGCACTCCCGATGCCGCACCAACGCCTGTTTTCTGCCCTGGCACACGCTGTCAGCGTCACTCTTTTATGTTCAGTGGTACAGATGAACACGACGTAGAAGACTGGCTTGCCGAGTATGAGCAGGTGGCCGCTTGCAGTAAGTGGGATGCCAGTGACAAGCTAACTAACTTGAACTTCTACTTGACGAACGTTGCAAAGCTCTGGTACAGAAATACAAAAATTCAACACACCCTCGTTTGACTATACCTACAGCATATAAGTCGGAGTAACTAGCTTTTAAACTTAAAAAAATAATTGATGTGAAGGTAATACGCTCATTTAACATGGAAGTAGAGCTTCACTGCAGTGGGAATTTTTTTAAATATGTTTTCATGGTTTAGCATGACATAACTGCAGTGAAACCACTCTACAGGGGGATTACATGCAAACTTTTATACATCTAAATGAACGCTTTCATAGCTTAGCATTGCTGCACAGCAGTGAAACCATCTCTACAAGTTGTCACAGGCAGATAAATACCCCTGTCGCACGGCAACCGCCAAGCTCCGTTTACATCCATCAGCATTCAAATTCCTAATGCAGCTTTACGAGAATGGTGTTGCAGCCATACCACACAGCTACACAATGAGCTTATAGGGCTTATAGCTGCGCTTGTCGAAGCATCTAGTCTTTCACATATGTAGTCGCCTTCAAATGGCTTAGGGCGGTCGAAATACAGAGAACGCCTGTGTGCTTAGAGTGAAATTTAAGTTGAAATAACCCAGGTTGTATAAATGAATCCAAAGATCCCTCTGTGGTTGGGCCTCAAATTCATGTCAAATGGCTGCAGCTAAATTTAACCCCATGCACGAGTCTATGTCTGTGTAATCTTTCATCACATGTTGTTTACCTGTGGATTGCCACACCGATATATTTTGCGGAGGGTTTCAATAAACGCCACTTGTCAGTGTCAGCACTGTCCTTTTGTTTCTTTCCTTCGTGCATACGTTTAAGTTTAGCTGCAACCATTCCACATGCAAGATCATCAACTAGCCCATATACAAACCACTCAAATTGATATTGTGGTTATGGCACATAAAACTCCAGCAATTATACATTATTACGATTACCACCACTTCACAAGCCTCACTTCGTCCTCCCCTTCTCCAGGCCAAACCGTTTTTGTGTGATCAATGCGGTCACCGTTACACCAGCCGGGGCAGTCTGACCAAGCACAAGCGCACCCACGACTTTGCCAATGCCACCAAGTGTCCACACTGCTCGAAGGAATTTGCGACCCTTGATTATATGCGCAATCACGAGCGACTGGTTCACACGCGCAACTTCAAGTTTTCTTGCCGGTAAGTTGTTGTGCATAGAACTTCTAGCAGGTAATTAGCTTTAGACACACAGTTGAGATTCATGGCTGGAAAATCGCGACTTTTATTCAAACTTGGAAAAAAAAGAGACTTTCGTACTTCTGTGCAGAGTCATTCTGTAACACCTATGAACCTATACAAACTCGCCTATCTTACTTTTGGTCCTTTTGTCTTTACCGTGGTTATTAATTAAAGTCACCCCTAAACTAAGTTGAGATAGATAAGTAGATGACTTTTCAGGGCTAATCGCATTCTTTATGCAAGGCAGACCAGTTTTAACTACCAGATGAAGGAAAGAATCCAGATATCGAAGATGATTAGAAAAGGCTTGCTTCATATCTATTTGTTGTGGGTGCCTTACTTTGTGTTCATTTTCTAAATTACGACCTTACTTGTGGGGTGCGATAATTAAATAGGCGAAATTTTCCACAAATACATAGAAAGAAAAAGAAAACGAGGCGGCCGCAAATCGGGATTCTCACGCCTGAAACGAATGGTAAGCTTTGAGTACTAGTAATTGGGACTTTCCTTAACAATAAAACCACAAGTTTAACACAAAGCAAGATTATTTGCAGACACAAACGCAACTAGCAAATAGTGTCCCACAGGTCTTCGTGCGCAGACCCTTGACGTAATCAAGATATCACGGACTTCACAAATTAATGCGGGCATCGTATAAACGATGCTTCCTTAGACAAAAAAGTAAGAAAATTCTGTGTGGCACTATAATCTTTCAAACCTTTCACATCGGCTAATTGTTGCCAAGATACAGCTCTTGGAGGCCTATCTGGGAAATTTCTTATTCAATTGCATACCTCTCAATTTTTTTACGGTCAGGTTTGCCGAACAACCTTTACCAATGTTGAAGGCAGGAATACTGAAAAGAAATGAAGTATTCAGGATTCAGGCATGGTTCTTGCATAATGAAAATCAGACTTCAGAAGTACAGTTATGCATTGCACACAATACACCCTATATCCTGTTCTTGTTACGACACACGAGTCTTCAGCGAATCCTGATGTCGTGCTGGCTGCTTTTCTTTTTTTGCAGACTGTGCGGCCACAAGTTCCCGAATGAGCGCAAGCAACAGACCCACATGGCTGTGGTGCACGAGCAAGAACTGACACGCGAGGAGCTGAATGCCATGACGCGCGTGCGGCACATGAACTGCCCCGACTGTTCCTTTGCCACCTACAGTGTCCTGCAGTTCCGTCAGCACCGAGCAACACACACGGGCCGCTACCCTTTCTCCTGCACAGTGTGCGACCGGGCTTTCGCTTTCCGGTGAGAATTGGCATTATTTTGAATACTACATGGCATTTATTTATTTATAAAAGCTGTCAGCCCTCACTTGGAGGCAAGGTACAACAATTTACATACATAAGCCAGACGGATGCACTGTTATATAGCTTACATTAGTGACAGATACACAATAATAGGAATATATAAAAGCTGTGTGACAACTAAATCAGACACAGCTGAATTTATATGGCTGTAAGTTAAGTCTTCGTAAATCATTATGGCAAATCATATAAATGTGCATCAAGTGCATAAATTTATTAATGTTATTTGTATTTACAGTAACATCTCTGTAGAACGAACACCACTTTAACAAACTTTTCAGATGAACAAACTTTTAAAAAATTCCGCGCCGACTGCTGATAGTTTCAATGTAAAATTATTTCGCTATTGCGTACTTCAGGATACCAAACTTTTCAGAATAACGAGCACTAATTTAGTTTCACGTTATATTAACAACGCCTCAGTACTATGAATACATGTTCTTAAATTCGTCGCGACCACCAGAACGATATCCAAGCAGACGACACAACGAACGCCTTGCTTCTCGAAAGATCTGCGACCGTGTGGAGGGAAAAAAAAAAAAAACTAAAGGACGACTTTCTTTTCTTTCTTTTTATTGAAATTCCAACACTGCAGGTTTAGAAGCGTAGAGGCGAGGGGTGAGGGCAACACAGGAGGGCAAAGTCAGCGAGCCAGAGGTACAAGAGGGCAGAGTGGGGGTTGCAGAGCAGGAAGCATGGGCGCGGGAAACCCGAGACAGCGAGAGAGCAGAAAACAGAACACGAGGAATTTTCTTTTTAGCTCTTTTATTTTTTTTTTGGAAGAGGCGATGACAGCCGCTACGCTTCGGGTCTTTCTCATCTTTGTCGCTTATACATATGATCTGAAGGCCAAAGGAGTATAGGTGTTCTCTGAGGAGGCCTCGTCAGTTGTGTTCATCTTTTCGGTGATTGCTTATAGCGTCTGCAAAACAAGTTGGCATTCGCAGTGCGGTGCTGCTACAATGAGTTCATCTCTGCTTGCGACGAAGAAGCGGAAGCAGTTTTCGAAAAGGAGAAAGTAGAGAATGTGCATGAGCTGAAAGCCTTCGCGCTGCAAAGTTTGTGCTGCACGCGTAAAAAAAAACAGAAATCGGAGACTTCTTTAATGAAAGGTGTATTTTTTGGTGCTCACATGCGCATTTATCTTTATCGTGAAAAATGATACGAAAAAGGAACCACTGTTGTAAAGGTGTCGTTTTGATTGGTGGAAAATAAGTATTTATGATTATTTTTGTGGGCTTTCACTATAACGACCTTTCAAAATAATTAACAAATTGCCACGGTCCCCTGAAGTACGTTACAGCACTGAGATTTTACTGTACTACATCACCCGGCAACTAATTCTAGGCCTCAATTATATCGGGCAAGCTTCACTACCATTGCAGTCAAACCTGTTTGTGACAAACTAGAAAGTGTCGTGAAAAGTGGTAGTTATATCAGTAGTTTATTTCATGTGTACTTGCCTTTAAAATTATGCTCTTAGCGATCAGCTGTTTTTTTTCTTTTTCTGCGCATTTTTATCAACAGCTCTAACAACCCCTCTGGTGACCAGTCAAGGTCTTTTCGCGTCATGATGTGACACCGCACGCTTACGGATTAAATAACAACCTTTGTGGTTCTCTAGATGGAGCCAATTATCTCTAGCTAGTTCCATGCTGCGCGTCTCCTACTTGGTTCACGGCGTCATCACTAAGTTTGTTGCTTTGTGTCGTATGCACTTGTTTGTGCGTCCTTCGAGCCTGCTCAACTCTGGATCGTGCGAGAGTGCAGGGGAAAACCTCAGCTTGTTCAATGCAGCAAGGACAAGCATTTTGCAAGCCTTGCGTGCTTGGGTTGTCATCTAATAAAACATGCAGTGTACACAGTGTGTATCGACGTTTTTCTATGCCGCACAACTTAACAACGCCAAGCTATCGTATTTACTAGCATAATCCTCGCACTCTCATCCTTTCCTCTCCCCCCCCCCCCCCCCCCCCCTCATTGTCCAACAAACCCATATTTTTGGTTGTTTTTTTCTCCACGAGTAATTATCGTGCCTTCAAAAATTGCAGCAATAATGTTGTCTGCTTCTTTTAACCACTGGTGATGATAGCGCACGACAGCCTGGAACCATCTATTAAGTGTCATGCATACTGTCAAAGCATGGAGCCTTAATTCACTCCAGTCTAAAATGGCAAGCCATAATGGCAAATTGAAAGCCAAGTCAAAATGGCAAGTACACGTCGCGGCATGCTAGTTAGTGTAGCGTACATTGTTGTGTGTTCTTTGGTTACGCTATTGGGCGATACAGAAGCTACACAGGTGCTTTCAAGTTGAAAGAGGTTGATCATGCGCGAAATAGCAGCAACAGGGACGCTGGCGGGCGCTTCGGAGTCAACGAGTTTTTCGATGGCTACTGGTGACGGCAGCACGAGCAACTAAAAGCCCCTTGGACGCATCGGGCCTTCCGTGTGGCTTAAGACTGGGATGAATGGTAAAACTCAGTTTCGTCAGAAGGCAACTGCGGGTGATTCCATGTTAAATGGCCGTCAGTCAAAGGTTGAAAGCTACCTATGATGTCCACAGGTTGATGTGGCACTTCTTGATTACGTCAAGAGTCTGCGCACGAAGACCCATGGGACACTATTTGCTAGTTGCTTTTGTGCCTGCAAATGATCTTGCTTTGTGTTCAACTTGTGGTTTTATTGTTAAGGTAAGTCCCGATTACTAGTACTCAAAGCTTACCATAAGTTTCTGGCGTGAGAATCCCGATTTGCAGCCGCTTCATTTTCTTTTTATTTCTATGTATTTGTGGAAAATTTCGCCCGTTTAATTTTTGCACCCCTCAACTTTTTATCTGTTTTTCACGACAAGAAATGCAAAGAATATTCGAGTAAATATGGTACTTTCGTTTCTACAAGGTTGCGCTCTATAGTGGTCTTGCACAACGTGGTGGTGGCAAACTTGCAAGTGACAGCATGGCGCACTTGTGCTGCTGTCAATCTGCACAGTTAATGCCACATGTGCTGCCGCAGATAGCTGCAAATGACTATGATAAGGTTGTGAGCAATAAGTCATAATAGCACGTTCACCGTCAGTCACTGTCCTCACCTTTGGTTTTCCAATCCTTATTCGGGAAAGCATTGCTGCAATCATGCAGAAGCCGTAAGCACTGATTGACTGGTCTCTGCCATGACAGAAAAGACTTAAAATAGAGAGTTTAGAATAGCGTAACGCTGAGTTTGCATTCATTGTAGTCATCCGCTATTTCTGTCACATAACGGGGGCCCTTAAAAGGTTAGCGTATGATGCATGTGCAGTTGCGGTAAACACAAAGCTTTGCACACGCTATTATGAAGCTCTCAAATATTTTTTATCAACAGACTGTGGCATCGACGAGTTGAAGGCCTCAGTGAACTTTTTTGTGCGACAAAAAGTTCTCCTGGTTATCATTTCTAGCATTTATGGCATCTTGCGTTTTGAGGTGATCGTAGCTGTATGGCATAAAAAAAGGTAACCGCGCAGAAGTTGAGCGCGAGGCTTGATGCTGTCTCCCAATCTGCCATTCCTCTTTTTCTTTTCTTTTTTGCATCAATGCCATTTTACCCCTGAAGAAATGTCTCAAAAGTTTGCGACCTCACTCACAGTGTCCGAAATCTGCATGCAGTGCTCACTGATGGAGGATATCTTAGTTGCGGGTAAACCGCAGCGGAGCATGCGTGAGCGCATGTTTTCTCTCATGCTTAGAAGGTCTGTTGTAACTTCTTTTCGCTTTGTTTGCATCATATTGTTGCGAGTGACTGTGTTTATTTACGCGCCCCGTAGGCTCGCGCATCTTTGTTTCAATATTTTTACAGCGACCTTGACGAAATGCCTGCTGTAAAAGTAGGAGGCTTTGGAAAATGTTCACTTTTTGTGGACGATATTTCAATGAGTAGCTAAGGAACATTGTAAGTGCATTGAAATATGGTCATTACAAAAGAGCGATTGTTATCTGTGGGATCGTTATAAGTGGATTCGACTACATCTTTCGAGCAATGTAAGACTGCATCATTCGTCTGCGATTTCCTCTCCCTTAACCTTGGTAGTTGTAAGGGGTTGTTGCTGTCACAAGTTGCTGTCGGTAGTGTAAGTGTTTGTCAGCGTTCAGGCATATTGTTACTTGACTTTTGCAACTGGGCGTAGTAGTGCAACTGAAAGCTTCGAGTGCTTTTGATCTGTAACTTGGTGAAAAGTTGCTCTGTTCACTGCTAAATACTGTAGGCTTCTGGTCAAGGCAGAAGTGCTGAAATGCTGACTGCACTTTGACTTGACGTGGCAGATCAATAAGGAGTGCAGATAGCTTTAGCAAAATATGCTATTTTAGCCAGTGAAAAACTGTTTAGATCATTAGTAGCCCTAGTTAACTAGTTGGTCAGTTAACCTTTGATAATATTAATGTACTGACTACAAGTATACTTAGCTGCACTGTTCCCACTAAAGCAGCATCACCAGCATGTTTCTCAGGAGAATAGCAATTGAGGAGCTGTGTACTTGAAGCCAATCATACGAGGGAATATCCTCGTGCTGCTATACTTATTATGCATTGTTATTCGACTGTGTGTTGTTCTCGGTGTCTGAAATTATTAAAGACTGAATTCAACCTACTTTTTAGTAAAGGCCTTCTTTACCTAGGCTTTAACTGGAAGTCCGGACCATGCATGAAAGCCTAAGGTGAACCGAAAACTGGATGTACTTGGAACAAAAAAAAAAAAAAAAAAAAAAAACAAGCATTGGCTAGTTGCATTTCTGAGGTAGTACATCTTAAAAGTCATGTGACACACTGGTCGTGGCATAACTCAAGCTAGGTGTGATCTGACAATCATTGTGGTTCAGGTCAAAGTAACATGAAAAAAAAAAAATAGAGATGTTAGACATTAGTGCAACGTCGATTTCGTGAAATATCTACGCATTTATAGTATTACCATCCCGCCTTCTCCCTTTCGTTTAGCAGATTTGAATTTTTCAGCTTGCATATGTAAATGCACACTAACTGTTCAAGATTTCCCCTGCAAGTCAAGCTTAAATTATCAGCCACTGATGCCCAGCGCTTGTCTTAATCCTTGCAGGCAGTGCCAAGGTGCAATGAAATTATCAGTGCACTAGCCTTCTGCTGATATTTAAAGCTTGCTTGCGCAGGTTCCAGCTGACGTTGCACATGCGGCGACAGCACCGACCAGGCGGTCCGCTGATGTGCCCTCACTGCCCGCGACATTTCATCGCTGAGGACGCCCACAGTGCGCACGTGGCCTTGCACAGCGCCTCCCATGCCAAAGAGCTCGAGTGCACTCAATGCAAGAGGCTGTACGAAACTCCACGACTGTTGGAGAAGCACCATGCCTCTTTTCACAGCTCGCAGGCGACGCGCTTTACATGCAAAGTCTGCGGCAAACGGTTCCGCACGTCCAGTGGCATCGTAGCTCACCGTAGGGTAGCCCACCTCAATTCACACGGTGGTACAAACGAAAAGGTGAAGCAGCCTACGTCCTCCAGAAACTGGGCACACAGACCAGGCAGGTGAGTGGAGATTCATGCGTCGCTTGGGTAGGAATGCAAGCACTGGCTTCACTGTCTTGATTTTTCTGTGATGGGGTAGGCAGCTGTGGAGAAAGTTAGACAGGTTGGGCTATTATGCATTAATGACGAGTGTAAATTAACCAAATAGGCAGACAGGAGCAAGGGAGAAGACATCAAATACACATTAAACTCTCAATATAAGGAAATATTTTTCAGTGGAATTGCTGCTTAAATGTAACAACTGCCTATACAGTCAGTCCCAGATATATCAAACTGGGAGGGGTCACGAAGTAGTTTGATTATATCAGTAATCCGAAATAAAAAATATACGTACAAAAGTCTTAAATTAATGCAATTCAGGTCTCGTAATTGCCCCAACTTGATAATTTGCTCATTGTACACTAAAAACCAAGGTTACAACTTCTTTTGCCAGTGAGCGCACTTTATTTCGCTCTAAGATAGTCTGTAAACTTGTCTTGCTTCTTGTATGCCTAAATAATATTGAAGCTTTTGAAGAAATTCAGCACTGTTAACCACAATAGCAGTGATTGATGTTTAACGTTGATGGAAGCTCTGGAGAGTGGTCAAAGGTTGTTTAGTGTCGGCGTTGGCGTCTTCATAACCGCGCAGTTCTACTTCTATGGCAGCGATGTCAGCCATGACCTCAGTTTTGATGTAGTCAGAAACAGCAACGTCGCCATCTGCACTGATGAAGTCGCTTGCTGTACTACCATCTGATATGGCATCCGTAAATGTCAAGGAGTTGCAAAATTCACTGAAGTACCATACACCATTGTTAGCGGTGTCTAAATCGGTTAGCGGGGTCTGTGAGTCTGGGGTGTGACATTTGGATGGAGGCGCGAGTTTTACCAAGCTTATTAATTAAAAGTGTTTGTGTTCTTCAAAGACTTCAATAGGCGCCCTCTAAAAAAAAATTCTGGCTATGTGCCTGATACACCATTAGTCACTTGGTACCAAAGCCCGTAAGGAAACAATTTATGACTGCGCTTTGCTTGACATCGTTCCAAGCACCAGTCGTCCTTTTTATCGCTACCAGTGGGTCAATGTTTGGTTTGACTCTTGAATGAGGACTTGTCAAGAACGAAGTGAGCAGTACTAACATCGTCAAATGAAACCGGAACAGCTTCAAGCTTTTGCGATGCTATAGTGCACGCCGTCCGCTTATCACTACGAAGAGTGATGCACATATGCGGAAAGCTGCCGGACAGGATGCGCGCACCTATCAATCGTGATAACTGGACGGCACGCACCACACTATCGCAAAGGCTTGTCACTGTTCGGGGTTCATTTGGCGCTGATAGTACACAAGTCCTGAAGCTGCAAAAGACATCGCTGCCCACAAACAACAGAGGCATCATTTCCCACTCTCACCCCGCCATCGACATCTTGGCGATGTTGATGGCACTCGTGGCTTGGTAGAAAACAGCCGCTGCTTTGACACAAAAAGGAAAAAAAGAAGGTGTAGCCTCCGAGATGTGTGTTTTGTAACAGAAGACACCAAAAATATGTCACGAGGTTGCTTATTTTGAAAAGCCGTGCTTTCTGGGTCCGCATACTTACAGGTATATTTACAGGCACCAGATAATATGTCCGAATTAACCAATTTTTTCAAATTAATGAGCTGTTACTATATCATTATTTGACTATCTTCATAATGGAATATGATAGCACGGCAAGGCATTTCCCCAATTACTGTGTTTATGCAGACCTGTTTAATCGTTAGATAAGTATACTACTGTTTCTCAGTTTGACAAATTTGTCCAAGCATGATGCACAATTAGTTGCCATTATCACTGTTCCTCATGTTTACACTTCTTATTATTGCACTGTGTGTCTGTACTCTATTGGCATCTTTAAAATAAAAAAGTAAGTGAAACTGTGTAGAAGTTATACTTGTCCGCATGCACACACAGCGTTTTGCCTGCGAGTAGAAAAAGAATGAAGCATAGCATCATATTTCTGTGCCATGCAGAAAGTATGGCTGTTCACGATGGAAGTACTGCTGTGAACCCTGCAAACGCTTCTTCAAGTTTGACAGCAGTCTGCGTGCGCACCGGGTCTTCATTCATGGCATCGAGGGCCAGCCTGCCGAGGAGAAGCTGTGTCCCGAGTGCGGGAAAGCCTTCCAGTGAGTTTTGCTTGTGGTTGCTCGAGCAGAATTGTGCTAACTCATTCTCTGCCACTGTGCGCAGACAGGGAACTGCTGGTCAAGCTGGCATAGCAGCCCATGAATGCTAGTTCGTTTATACAATATACTTGCTGTCAAATTCAGTTCACTCTTTGATTTGGACAGGTGAGAAGGCTGTGATATCGCATTATTATCTATTAAGGTGCAGTTGTAGCCCCTCCTCGGAGATACTGTTCAAAACTATAGCATTGTACTACGCTTATCAAAATACCATTTGCTTCCGAATTCGACATATCAGATGCTGCAGTGCACCCCTGTAGGTGTACTTCTTCAATCTCACTAGCGATCACTCACATAATCAGAAATACTCGTGCTGACGAGACTTCGCTGTTTTAGCAGACTCTCGCAGATGGGGTATTGAGCTGGGAAATAGCTAAGGAAAATGGAGATTAAGCTCTGTGCGTGCATCAGTACTGTAAAAGCTAATTAATTTTAACTTGAAGGGCTCTATGAAATTGCTTGAATTAGAGGGTGGGTTCGAATTAGTGAGTGGGCGCTGAAGTGAACAGATGTGGCACCACACTGAGCGGGCAGAGCACAAGGAAGGCACATTCTGGACTTAATTCACGAACTTTGCACTGCTACACATTCGGAGCTAGTGATTTCGTGAATTACATTCGTGGAGCTGTAACAGCGGATAGAATTAATTGAGCAGTCTGTGATACACCAGAAACAAGCGCTATCATGCATTCATGTGAGACGGGAGTTTTAATGTGAGATACATAATGCCATTTAGGCTCAGAAACGCCTTTATTTACATGGCAGGCTTAATCCAATGAAAATAAATAATAAATAAATAAATAAATATAATTGGTAATTTGCTTTTGCTTGCATTCCTTCTGTCATGGCACTATTGGCATTATTTGCAGTTTTCAAGAGCTACAGTGCAGCGTCCGAATTCTCATTTGCTGAGAAATACTGCTCTATTGTTTCAAATCTAGTAGAGTTGGTTTGATTTCATTTTATAACACAGTGTTATCATTTTGGACCGACTTCTGTGAGGAACGATGAAAGCCAGGTGGTTTCAGTTCGAATTAACTGTTGTGGATACCAACATCTTTGAATTATGCCTCAGTTAGAACTGTCTCTACGTTTAAATTAGCACAGTTTGAATAAACGAACTTTTTTTTGTAAGTGAATCGCTGAAGCAGGGGATCGCTTTTATGATCATAAAATTGATTTAATCTCTGACTGCAGATTTTTTTGCAATATGCATCTAAAAAATGCATTTTTTGTTTATCGCTGAATTAAATTCTTCAGATTAAATTATTTAGCAAAAAAATTTTTGAAAATTTTTTCGGTGACCATGACATACCCCCCAAGTCTCTCGCATTTTCCAGGAGACTCACGGATTTCTACCGTTTCTTATGCGTGTACAGTTGGCTGGAAAATCTCCTAGCAAATCAAAATTTTTGTGCATGATCTGGCTGCAATAATAAAAATTCAACCCAATTGGATTTAAGCTTTTTGCGAAACTATTCGACTATTGCATAATAACAGCGTCAATGCAAACCCACAGTAAAATCTCGGTGATATGAATTCGCGAAATTTCCCAGCCGAGTTCCACTGTGTCCACTGGGCTGAAATTCGGATGTTCAGAAACTTTGGCACGTCAAGCCAGGTGATATGAACTTCGATACCAAATCATCGAGTGATGGAGGAGAGCAACCTGCTGGAAGCTTTGGAAGAACGTGTGCGGCCGACGAAATCGCAGTCACTTTCAACGCGATCATATTTGGCGATGACGAACTGACAAAGCTCCGAAAGTGCACGCGTGTACAATGCTCACACAGCTAAAGCGACGAAGTTTTGAAGGCACATGCGCGGGCAGCGCGGGCAGATTATTAACGGAACTGTTGTTTGTTGCAACCACCGCGAGCGAAACTGCGGTCGCTGCGACGCGATTATCAATAGGGACTACTACATGTAGCTCCAGAGATACGCGGCTAATGCAGCAATAGATTAAAGGCAATAAAGGCATAAAATAAAAGGCACGAAGTGTTTCGGTGTTCATGTCAATCTTCGTATATGACTACAGGTGGGCCACGGCAGCCAGTTGTGCCATCCCCCCCCCCCCCCCCCGCTCCCCCGTTGCGATAATCTTCCAAATTCGGAGTCCTTCAACTAGACAGGTATGCCCTGAAGTCACGATAAAATAAAATCGTTTGTGTTGTTAGATACACATGCATCTTTCATAAGTAACAGTTAGCAAAGTCCTAAAATGGCAGTCTATACTATTGAAAAAAATTAAAATTATGCATTGTAATAAACATAGCTCACGTGCACACAAAAGTAAATGCATCCGAGTATTTTTCCAGTAAAGAATGTTCATGCTTTAACTGTTAAAACAGTCTTTGAACCATGGCTCCACGCAGAGTAGTTTGTTGCACTTAACACACATGTAGGGGGTCTCTTTGGGCTACATGTGTGTTACCTGCAAGTTTCTGTCACCGAGTGGTGTTGGCACAGACTGTAGTGTCTTATCAGGGTTCTGCTCCACTTAGCATTAGTGGGTGGCAACTTTCCTATAAAGTGTCCGGCGGGCACTTCTACTGCCTAAATGAGCTGCATGAGTAAGCTCACGATGGAAAAGTATGTTGATGTGCACCAGTCCAAAAATCAAAACGAGTATGAAAGCTATAATAATCCTTCGCCTTGTCTCCAACCACGCTGAGTAAAGGAGGAGGAGGAAATGCAACCAAAGTGAAATCGTATGTGTAATTTAGTGCTGCATGGAAAGAGATGTTATTGCGCTCCGAGAATCAATAAACTAAAGTAACAAGTGGTCACGCTTTAAGAAGCGTCGCCCTTTGAGAGATTTGTAACCAGGCATGAATTAATTTTGCGGGTGAGAGAAGCAATGACCGCTCGAAGGAGGAAATCGAAACCTGTCGCACCACGCGTGTGCTCTCCGATGTGCAAGCTAGCGCACCACTAGGGAAAGCGAACGAAAAAAAAAAAAAAGTGAGACACATTGGCACCTAAAAAAAAGTCCACTTATTCCTGAAGTGTGTCAGCAAATGCCAAGCTAGAGGAATGATCGGAAAAGGCGCTTGTTTTAAAGATACATGCAATAACATACTACAGTCGACGTCCGATTTCCCAGACCCTCAAGGTACCGCGAAAACGTCCAAAAATTTGGGCAGTCTGTAAAAACTAATGCAAACGAAAACACTTTTTAATAGGTATTTTTCTCTGACAGAGATTGTCACGGCAGGAGTACAGTGCAATTAAGAAAATGCATCGTTTAGGTAGCTCTGAAAAGAGCCGAAAGAAAGAAGAAAAAAATCTAATATGGCCGACGCTACCGCGTTCTTGAACACTTAGGTGCAAAAAAAAAAAAAAAGTTGCTTATTTTCGTTTGCACAGTGTTCCACTTGCCCGTGATGATGTTTGCCTCAATTTGAGTTAACCTCGTGCAGTCGCTGTACACCGATGACTGTGTCAGTGCTCGGATCAACTCTGGGCTCGTTTTATGTGTAGGTGCTGCCTCTTCGATCTCAGTGTCAGAGTCGGCGGATTCCTCCGTAACTTGCCAAATGATTTAGCCATCGGCCACTTCACACACAGCTTGAGGTCTTTGTCGGTGTCGACAAAGCCCTCAAGGGTTATCCCAGCTGGAATCGAAACGCTGGCAATGTGCAGATTGTCGAACGCAATGTCCGCGGGTGGAATTTCGTCACAAACGCTGTCCACTTTGAACAAGACGGCTGTCTGGGCATCCAGTATGAAGCTCCCGCAGCGACAATAATTTCGGAGGGTCTGTTGCGTAACCACCTTCCACGAGTCTGTAAGCATGCCGACGGCAGAACATAGGTCAACAGCCTAGCTTTTACCACTGTCGGTGCTCGCGTCAACTTCGAGCTTGTTTTTTTGTGTAGGCATTGCCTCTACGATCTCGGTGTCGGAGTCACAGCACAGCATCCTGCGGCCTAAGCTATGGCTGGCAACGGATTGGCGTGCGCTGGATTACGGCATTTTCGGTTTCTAGGGTACGGCAGTGGCGGCCCTGTGGGTGTGAGAGTCCGAAAAAAAGCAGAATGGCGGGTTCAATAGTTACTTTGAGTTTGCAGTTAGTGGGTTTTTTTCTTACTTTTTAATGCGTTGACTTTATGGGGAAGTTTACGATGCCACAGGTGAGTCCAGGAAGTCAGGCATGTGCTGAATTTTGGGCGTCCGAGAAATCGGACGTCGACTGTATTGCACACCACAGGAGATGTAGAATATTAGAATGTGATAATTTAGTTTTGTTTTGTGTACTCTTTTATGAATTTTGTTGCTTTAGCACCTGTTTAAGCAATTGTGTCCAGTAGTGGTCGCATGTGGTCACGGTTCTCAAACTCTCTATGCTGTTTATGCAGGACTGAACTGAGTCTTGGAATGCACTTGCGCACACACACCCAGGAGATCAACTACAAATGCAGTGTCTGCAGCAAGATCTATCACAGTCGCTGCAGCCTCAAGAAGCACATAGCTACGGTACACCGTTCAAGTCTACGTGTATTCTGTGCTCTCTGCAACCGGGGCTTCCTCAGCCATGCCTCCATGCTGCTGCATGTTAAGTTTGCACACAAGGTTGGTTGGCATTTCTTAGAACACGTGAAGTCAAATTTCATCGTAGTAAAGTTCGTGGTGCTCTTAACATATACAGTAAAACCTCATTAATTTGAACACAGTTATTTCAAAATCCTGCTTAAATCGAGGTATTTCAGCCGTGCCGTATTTTGCAATGTAAGGTTGAGCAGATAATTTGAAGCGGCGGCCAGCACCATTCCGGTTAATTCGAAAACTTTGGGTGCCATGTATCAATTCATAATCCCAAGTTTGCCGCAAAACAACAGAAATGACAGCCCTTAATAGCCACTAGGCAATGTACCGTAGCGATGCTACTAAGTCGCAGCTGCAATACCCCAGCCTCGATACTTCCAGTACAAAAAATATAATTAAAGAAAAGAGGGGGTGGTCTTGTGAGCAGCTAAAATGTGTGCCTGCGGAAACCAAGACATGCTTCACTGCAACACAGTTGTGACGCATGGGCAGCATGTTGCATGCTTTTTGCAACATCAGCACGTCAATATTTACCCATTCTTTCTGAAAATATAAAGAAATTAATAAAGGAAAGTCTGGCGGAATTCGCGTTGTATGCGAACGTCCGAGTGCCAGTTGCTCCAACAATTTGCACACTTGCACTGCTGGCGGAGTTCTTGCCTGCTACGCCTACTTCGGAAACTCGGTTCGGAAGCTTCAATGTTTTCCAGCTAAAATGTCGTGAATTTTCTCACACTTTCTGTTATTAAATTCTTTATTGTACTTGAATGAGTGAACAGTCGCATCATGATGTGCTGATGCAGCGAGGAGCAGGTGACACGCTGCCTGCAGGTCACTACTGTGTTGCAGTGAAGATATCTTAATTTTCACAGACGCACATTTGAGTCATTTACGTTTTTTGTTTGACTTGTAGAATGGATAGGGTGCATTTAGCAGTGCCTGCAAAAGACGAGGAAGAGGACCGTGGTTCGTGCTCATGACAGCTCCGATTTGGATCGCTGAGCGCTTGACCTGTGTTCGTTTTTAATAAACGCGTCGCGGACTCAACGCTCAACGCGTACTATCAAGTGGTGCAGAGTGCTGGTTCTCTTTTTCACCCTGGAACTTTGTAGCCGAACTCTACCTCCGCCGTCCATCATGCCTGACGACGTTGCAGCAAAGCCAAATGCTGCCACACCCACCGCTCTCCGCTGCCCCGGTATTCCGAAGGAGCGCGACTCAGTTCTATTCAACGGCACTGATGAACAGGACGTCGAGGACTGGCTCGCTTCGTTTGAAAAAGTGAGTGTCAACAACCTGTGGGACGACAACGACAAACTCAGTCGCGTTCACTTCTACCTGAGGGGTGTCGCGGAGCTTTGGTTGAACAACCATGAGGCTGAGATTACCACCTGGGCGTCTTTCAAAACGACCTTCGCAGACGTATTTGGGCGAACGGCAGTGCGCAAGCTTCACGCGGAGCAGCGTTTGCGTGATCGTGCCCAGTTGCCAGGAGAAAGTTTCACGTCTTACATTGAGGACCTCGTAGGCCTCTGCCAGGTGCTTCAATCCGGCCATGTCCGAAGCCGACAAAGTCAAGCATATCAATGAAGGGCATCGAGGACGATGCGTTCCACATGCTTGTGGGGAAATCTCCTCGAACCATCACAGACATCATTCAGCACTGCCAGAGCTACGACGAGTTGCGAAAGCAGCGCATTTCCACACGACGTCACAGTTTCGACACGACCAGCACGTCAGCACTGACCGTTGGCGCGATCTCCCCAGGTCCGGTAGTATTGACGCACCAAATACAACAGTTCATTTGCGAGGAGGTTGCCCGTCAATTGTCTATTGCTCCCTTTCTACCTAGTAATAGTCATGGACTCCCCTCGTCACTGTGCCAAACCATTGAGGAGCAAGTATCCAAAGCTCTTCCGCCTACGCACCAGCCACCGCTTGTATCAGTGCCGTTGACCTATGCCGACGTCGCGAGAAGGCCTTCACATGCAGTGCCATACAGCAAAGGCCCTCCTCAACGCCCTCATGTCTTCTACGCACCGCAGGCAGCCGACAAGCCCGCAAATTCCGCTTTATCGACGTCCTGCCACCCGTCCCAATAATCCTTGGCGCACACTGGACAACCGACCAATATGCTATTACTGTGGTCTACCCGGGCATGTCGAGCGTTTCTGCCGCCGCCGCGTTCCTCGTCCAACTGCCGTTGAAGCCAATTACAGCTATGACCATACAGAGTCACAACTGCCAATACCCTCCCACGCTCCTTCGAACACCTCATCGTCGAACCGCCGCACCTCCAACTCGTCTCGATCACCCTCCCCGCGCCGGCGCTCGCTATCGCCAATGCTTCGACGCACCGCGCCCGTCCACACGGAAAACTGACCACCTCAGTTCCCGAGGCAAGAACTGCGCCACTGTCGACATCTACAAGGCCTCGTTCCCAACCTGCAAAGGAAATCCCAATTTTCATTGAAGGTGTTGCCGTGTCCGCTTTAGTCGATAACAGAGCTGCTGTGTCCGTGTTAAGCGAAGCAATGTGCCGCAAGTTGAAAAAGATTACGACTCCGATTTCTGGTGTTTCTCTCCGTACAGCGACCGCACTTCACATACAATCTTCCGTCACGTGCACAGCTCGCCTACTCATTCAGGACGTTTTGTATGTGGTTTAATTCGTCGTATTTCCACACTGCTCGCATGACGTTATATTGGGCTGGGACTTTCTTTCCATGCATCATGCCGTTGTCTATTGTGCCCGTGCCGAGCTTGAATTATCAGCAATCTCGGACATCGCTCCTGCCAAGTCATCTTTTTCTCGTGTCGTCATCGCCGAGGACACGGACATCCCACCTATTTCGTCTGCTATTGTGCCAATTTACTGCGACTATGCTTTCTCTACCACCTTGTTTACGCCGTCAGCGAAATTCACTTCCCGTAAGCACTTTCTTCTCCTATTTGCTCTTATCACGATCGAAAACTCCTCCGCAACCATTTATGTCACGAACCTGCTTTCAGTCCCAACCACTATGTTCTGCGGAGAATGTATAGGGTAACTTGAGGACATTGATTCAGTCTGTCCTAACTCACCACCTGGTCGCACAGCTAGCCTCCATGTCGCGAGCGTTAATCTCGATACCACGGCCAACACATCTACCCCAGATGCCTTCCTTCCATCCATTGCTCTGGACCTTCCCAGCGTTCAGCGGACACAACTCTTGAAGCTTCTCGGCCGCTTTCGGACTTCTTTTGATTACAAGCAACCCAGTTTGGGCAGAACAACTTCGATCGCTCATCATATAGACACCGGCAGCCATGCACCCTGCGCCAGCGTCCATACCGCGTCTCTCAAGCTGGACGTCAGGTTATTGAAGTCCACAGCCGTCCCACAATTTCTGGGCATCCTCGGTGTTGCTCGTGAAAAAGAAGGACAGTAGCATCCGCTTCTGTGTTGATTATAGGCGCCTTAACAAGATCACGCGCAAAGATGTCTATCCGCTCCCCAGAATTGATGACGCGCTCGACTGTTTGCAAGGAGCGGAGTTCTTCTCTTCGCTGGATCTTCGGTCGAGGTACTGGCAGGTACCTATGGATGAAGCCGACCGCCCCAAAACTGCGTTCGTAACTCCTGACGGCTTGTACTAGTTCAACATGATGCCGTTCGACCTTTGCGATGCCCCGGCCACATTTGAGCATCTTATGGACAACATACTTTGAGGTCTCAAGTGGCATACGTGCCTTTGATATCTGGACGACGTCGTGGTTTTTTCAAAAGACTTAGATACCCATCTCCAGCGCCTCGCAAGTGTCCTGGAATGCCTCACACAGGCTGGGGTACAACTAAATTTGAAGAAATGTCACTTCGCTGCACAGAAGCTCGCAATCTTAGGGCACATTGTCAGCAAGGATGGCGTTCTACCAGACCCAGACAAGCTCCGCGCCGTCACCGAGTTTCCTAAGCCGTCGACACTCAAAGAACTCCGGAGCTTTATAGGGCTATGCTCGTATTTTCGACGATTTATTCGTAATTTTGCATCTATAATGATCCCTTTAAGACGTCTACTTGCTGACAGCCAAGGTATCTCGGCATGGTCGTCCACTTGTGACGACACATTTGCGAAATTACATCATCTTCTGACATCGCCGCCGATTCTCCGTCACTTCGACCCAGACGTCCCTACTGAAATCCACAAGGACGCTAGTGGAGTCGGCCTTGGCGCTATCCTTGCGCAGTGGAAGTTTGGCTTCGATGAGTACGATGTTTATTACGCGAGTCGCTCTCTGAAAAGAGCTGAATAAAATTATTCGGTCACGGAAAAAGAATGTCTAGCCATCGTTTGGGCAACCGCTAAATTTATACCTTACATATATGGTCGGACATTTGATGTCGTGACCAACCATTACGCCCTCTGCTGGTTGTCGTCTCTAAAAGACCCATCTGGTCGCCTAGCCCGTTGGGCATTACGACTCCAAGACTACGACATCCGCGTCGTCTACAGGTCAGAGCGCAGACATTCAGATGCCGACACTCTCTCTCGATCTCTGCTTCCCCATGACTGTGCAAATGCGCCTGTTTCTACCTACAATTCTACCTCCCTCACACACGCTAACATGCCATCCAAGCAGCGTCAAGACCCTTGGATAGTGTCTTTAATGAAGTTCCTATCGAAGCCATCACCAAGTACCGCCAGTCGCTCGCTGCGGCGCACAGCTCGCCATTTCACCATGCGCGATGGGCTACTTTACCGCCGCAATTACCTCAGTGAAGGTCGCAAGTGGTTGTTGGTGATTCCTCGCCATCTACGTGCTGATATTTGCACCTCGTTTCATGCGGACCCCCAATGCAGGCCATGCTGGTGTAATAAAGACACGCACGCCACCGGCTGCGGTACTACTGGCGTGTAATGTACCGATTTGTCCGCCAATACGTGCGTTCATGCTCAAAATGTCAACGCCGGAAGAGTTCACCGCATGCCGTCACTGGACCGCTCCAGCCGTTGCCCTGCTCATCCCGACCTTTTGATCGCATCGGAATTGACTTCTATGGCCCACTTCCATACACACCTGACGGGAATCGCTGGGTGGTTGTCGCTATTGATCATTTGACACGGTATGCTGAGACTGCCGCGCTGCCAGAGGCTACATCACGTGAAGTCGGCTTATTTATTCTTCACAAACTTGTTCTTCGCCACGGTGCTTCTCGCGAGTTACTCAGCGACTGTGGACGCACGTTCCTCTCAGAAGCCGTACAAGGCCTCCTGCGTGAATGCAATGTTGTTCATCGAACGACCAGTGCGTACCATCCCCAAACCAATGGCATGACTGAACGCTTCAATCGCACATTAGGCGACATGCTGTCAATGTATGTATCTGCTGACCACACCAACTGGGACCGCATACTACCATTTGTCACCTATGCGTACAACAGCGCCACTCAGTCCACGACTGGATTTTCTCCCTTCTTTCTTCTATATGGCCGTGAACCCTCCTCATTTATGGATACCATCTGCTGTATCGCCCAGATACTTCAGAGTCTGCAACTCTCTCAGAATTCGCCATCTATGCGGAAAAATGCAGGCAGCCAGCACGTTCGTTAACTACACAAGACCAAGCACACCAAAAGGACCGCCATGACGCCAACCTGCATCCCCAGTCATATTCGCCTGGAACATTGGTGTGGCTTCGCGTTGCCTCCTCAGCTCCAGGCCTTTCTTCAAAGCTGCTGCCTAAGTATGAAGGCCCCTATCGCATCCTGCGTCAAGCATCCTCGATAAACTATATTGTCGAGCCGCGTACAGTTATCCACACGTCGACCGACTGAAGCCGCACTATGACCCACCAGTTGTACCTGTGCCTTAGGTCGCCAAGATGGCTCCTTTTCCGCGGGGGAGTGATTTGTAGAATGGATAGGGTGCATTTAGCAGTACCTGCAAAAGACGAAGAGGACCGTGGTTCAGGCTCGTGACAGCTCCGATTTGGATCGCTGAGCGCTTGACCTGTGTTTTTTTAATAAACGCGTCGCGGACTCAACGCGTACTATCAGTTTGTTTTTGTGATTGCAGCAGGGAGGCTCAGGGTTTTCTCTTGTTTGTAGCAAAAGTGCGACACTGTATTGCTGGAAAACATAACCCTTGAAGCAGCAATCTAGCCAGCACAGCAAATGACCAGACCTGATTATATTTCCATAATTTCAAGTTCTTTGCATCGCACATTTTTCATATTCTGTCAATTTAAAAACCCGCTTAATTCGAAGATTTATTACGGTCCCAGTGACTTCAAATTAACAAAGTTTTACTGTATATATTTGTGGTAGAATTTCGAAGTTGTTAAGTTCACAACCAACCATGAAATACTGCTATAGGTGCCCAGAGCAATAGGTTTCGCTAAAGGAGCCCAAAGCAATAGGTTCAGAAAGATGCAGTTGCATCAACGCAGCCAAAGCCGCTCTAGATGATGTGGCTTTATGGTAAGAGCGTCTTTTCTCCCCCACACATACACCACTGTGTGACCCCATCTGCCAAAAGTGACAAGCTGTAGTGTGAACAGTTTAGTCTCAAAATGCAAAAAAAAAAACAGATAGGAAAAAGCCTTGACCTATGCTTGTTTTTAAAATGAATGTATGACTAAAAAGTTATGTCGTTTTCATTCATGAAAAGGAAATCTCTTTTTGCCATTTCAAGGATGGTGCCAAAGCTGGAGCGTCAGTTGAAGTTATTGCCGACCGTTTGGAGCCATCCGCAGATGCCGCAACATCAGTCCCATCAGTGACAATGGCAGATATAAATGCTGAAGCAGCTGCAACCTCGGTATCAGCCATGTTTCCCATTTCCAATGCACCTCCTGTGCCCACTATGACTTCTATTCAAGTAGTGCCCATGTCAACCGTCTCTTCGGTCCCACACATGGAAGCTGCACTGAGTGGGTCTTCCGTTTCGCATTTGGCCACTGCAACCACTGGGTCTTCAGTTCCAGGAATTGCAGCCGTTTCCTGCGTTGTCACTGGTTCCAAATATGGCCTCTGTGTGCTCAGTTCCAGGAATTGCAGCTGTGACCTCAGTGTCAGTGGTTCCAGATATGGCCTCTGTGTCTACTGTGTCTTCAGCTGCACGTGTGGCTTCTGCACCCAGCGTGCCTTGCGTTCCAGAGATGGGTTCTTATCCTGCGATGGCCTCCGATAACACTGAGGCTCCAGTTCAGGACCTAGAAGCAGCTGCAGACTCTGTTGCATTATCACCGTCCATGACAAGTGATAGCATGGTTGAGTTGGAGCCAGTGCAGGAGATCACCGAGCTGACCCGTATGGAGCCCTGAAAGTCATGAGCACGCAACGGTGGAGCACTTGTTTGCCAGCATTCAGCAGCCCACGACCTCCTTGCCTGTGGTAACCGATGGACCACCTTTGAGTGTTGGTTCAGGGCAGCACGTGTTGCACATGCTGACTGTGTCCCAAGTTGAAGAAGTAGTCAGCGAGGTCTGTCTGCCTCAGAACAGTTCTCCAAATGTGTGGTAGTTAAGCCAAGAATTGTTTCCGCAAAGGCACGCAATGTAGCCAGCTCTCTGAATGGTTGAAGACCTTGTTCAACCGTGTAGTTCTGTGAAGGAAAACTTGCAGGGTGTGCCTTGGTAACTATGAAGGACTCATGACATCACACACTTGTCGGGCCATTGCTTTTTTTATTTTTATTTATTTTTGTGAATGTGCCAGCGCAAGTTATTATTAAGTGTTAACTGCTCGAAAAGTTACCCAACCACCTGTAATGTGCAGTTTATCCTTAGTAGATTGTAAAGCAAGAAGATGCATATCAGTATAGACCGCTTATAACGTAAGTCGCGGGAGTCGCGAATATCTGCACTATAAGCGGTACCACACTATAACCAAAGCAACCTTCTTTAAGGGCCGCACTTGGGCAAGAGGTTTTTAGCATGCAGTGCAACCTCGTGTGTCCAAGAATCGAAGCATGCAATGCGTGGTGCTTACAAGCATACAAATTTCGAAATGTTAAAAAAAAATTAACATCCAAAGATACACGTTGCCAACAAAATGAACGCAAACGGGGAGTTGGGGTGTTCAACAAGAAACATTATCGCGGAAGCTCGCCAACCACTTTTCAGACTGCTTCAATTATGCGCATTACATAAAAACTATTTCGAATAAAGACCAGAATTTCACGGACTGAAAGACGCTAATCATTCAATTTCACAGGCCCGCACCAGACTTCGAAGCATCGCAATGGAATCACAAACCACCATTCGTGCACTACACGTGCCACCCTCGCTTTTACCAACAATATGTATCCCTTCCCATAAAGTGCAGTTACAGCAAAGAGTTTCGTTGATTCTGTAACAAACCACATCTTATAAACAGCATGCACCCACTACTAAAACGCATCCAAAGCCGATTAGGCGTAGTCTGCCGCTCGGTATGTCATCGCAGGAAGTTTATCCAAGACATGAAAATCGGGCGTTGAAAAGATTGCACTCAAGCACTGAACCAAGAGCAGCGTGCGCCCCGTCGCAGTGGTCTAGTGGCTAAGGTACTCGGCTGCTGACCTGCAGGTCGCGGGTTCGAATCCCGGCTGCGGCGGCTGCATTTCCGATAGAGGTGGAAATGTTGAAGGCCCGTGTGCTCAGATTTGGGTGCACCCGATAGAGGTGGAAATGTTGAAGGCCCGTGTGCTCAGATTTGGGTGCACGTTAAAGAATCCCAGGTGGTTGAAATTTCCGGAGCCCTCCACTACGGCGTCTCTCATAATCATATGGTGGTTCGGGACGTTAAAGCCCACATATCAATCATCAACCAAGAGCAGCGTGCGCGATACGAAACTGCATTCGCAGCTGGGAGATCAACAGCGATGAAAACTTGCTAAGCTTTCGTAAAACCGCTCACTGGCGCAGCAAAGGCAAAAGCTCGCATCATAAAACTGTGAATGTTTTTAAGTTTACGAACAAGGTAGGAAACTCAATATCTGTAGCAAACTCGATAACGACGACGCTTTTCTTGACAGGAAACTTAAGCGCAGTTAAGGACGAGACTGCATGTGCCCTGTGAAGCCGCACGCGGCCAGAGCCACGCTAGCGACAAGCATGTCGCGTCGGCGCCAATGCAAAAGCGGCGAGCTCGCGCAGCGTGCCGGGTCTTTTTTTCCTTTTCTTCCCTCCGCCCTTTGTTCGTTCACTCTGTGTACCCTCCGAAACGACCTCGTCGCTCGCTCCCGAGCGGCACACCCAGTGTGCCTCCTTTCAGACGCGCATTCTTTATTGCGTTTGTCACAAAGATTTTCCGGCAACTGCATTATGAGCGGTCTTTCATCTTGGGGGACTGCACAATAAGCGGTATGCGTATGCATGGGGTTCTATTGGAGGGTTAACGGGAGTCAAAAAAGGTTGCATTGTGACCGATTCTGCATTATAAGCAGTTACGTTATGAGTGGTCTACACTGTATTATTTGCCAATTAAGGCATTAGATATTTCCCTGTTAAACCACTTATGCCATTGCCTTCTGAAGGCGATGTCTCAAGTTGTGTCGTACAGATTTGGGGGAGGGGGGCTTTTCTTATTGATTTGAGCATTTTGACCTTAATGAAGTTTGCACTCCAACTGTATGCAAAGCAAGCAAGTCAAATTTAAATGTTATAAATTATACACACTTTAAATTTTTTTAGTTACTATGTAGCGAGTTTTATTTTTTACAGTGTTCACTTGAGGACTGTTGCAAAGTTAGCAAGACGTGCTTGAAATTTGATGACCTTTTTTTCTGTGCTCATTGTGATACAAAGATGAATGATAAACTTATGCTGATTTTAGGTTTCATGTTGTGGGGGGTGGCCTTTGTTTATGATGGAGTGAAAGGGCTTAGTAGTCATAGCTTTGACTCATAGTTAGCAATAATAGCCATTCAAGTGAGTACATTATTGGAAGCATTATTATTATGAACAGAACCTAATCGATCACTATTGTAATTTTTTATGCATTGTGACGACTCTGAAGCTACCAAATTCATCAAAAGCATCAAGAAGCTGCATAAGTGAATTTCTTGCTGTTCGCAGGGGATGGAAGCAAAATTGTAGCGGCCAGTGGACTGTGCTATGTCGGTGAACGCTAAAGAACACCAGATGGTCAAACTTTCCGGAGCCCTTTACTATGGCGTCCCTCAGAATCATATGGTGGTTTTGGGACATTAAAGCCCACATGTTTTTATTGCTGTCGGCAAAAAAATGTGCATGAAGTCTGTTAAGGACGAATATCATTAATTGGCTAGAAAAAGCAGCGAGTTTTTTCCAAAGGTTGCACTAGTGATTATACCAGAGCATTTAAGCCTGCAACACCTCCTGGACATAAACACTGCTGTGGTTTTACGAATGCACTGCATGCAGCGGAGAATCTGCACTGTTGCATCAAAAATGGCTAAAAGTGATTTGCTCTCTCATTTGCATTGTCATCACCAGCCACGCATTAAGCAGGCCCTCCAGATATTGGCTGATATTATTAATTGCGCGCTGGTTACTACCTTGAAGACCACATGTCGTTTCATGGGAGTAACCCGGCCTTGGTGGGTAGCGCATAACCAACAATTAACATCGATTTACCAAGTCCCGGATCACTCGCGAACGGCACGCGGACTCCTCAGCTCACAGGTGGTTACGTCACATGCACGTGATCTAAAAGTCCCGAGCCAGCCAGAGCGGCCTTGGGCCATCTGTGCGCCTGATGCTGAGTGCATCCGCTGTGGCGTCAGCTAGGCCAGGCTATGCCGTCTGCTCCCTCCATAGCTGTGACACAGGCCACAACGCTGACCCAGTTCAGACCTAAACAGCAGTTAGATAGTGAATTATACCTAATTCTGTTGTGATGCAACTTACTGTAAGTGAACTACTCGAGCGCGTGTGCATCGTAGACCGGCGCGGTCGTTCCACCGCTGTTTCTCCTAGCGAGTATAACGCGTGTTTGCCCGACCTTCGGGAATACGCACATGCTCGACATGGCTCACAACACAGATGACAAGAGTGCGCTAACAATGCCAAATCCAGAAACATGCGAGAAGCGGACAGAAAAGCAAAGAGAGAGCAAGAGTGCATCGAAAATTTCCTGTGTCTAACAAGATGGCCGCACAGCATGTGCACCGCGCCATCGTCTGCCAGCTGGCTGCCCGAAAGAAATTGTTCGGGCGGTCCCGGGCCGCCAGCAGGCCGCCAGGCACACGAAAAACGAACATGCGTCCGAGCAATCCCGGACCAGTGGGTGGAGCTTCCAGTTGGTCCCCGAGAAAAACGAATGCGGCGCCGGCGTCCGGGCCGTCCGGAGCCGCCCAGGACGCGTAAATCGATGAAGCTCAATAACAAACGCGCTTGGCTGTAGCTCGAAGTCACAGGTTCAATCCCAGCCACAGTGGTCGCATTTAGATGTAGATTAAATGCTAGAGACCCGTAAACTGTGCAATGTCGATGCACCAGATGGTCGAAATCTCCCAAGGCCACCCCTGGCGTCTTTCATATATGTAGGTTTTGGGACGTGAAAAAAATCCAGTTAGTATTAATGCCAAACGTGGTAGTGCTGCGCGTCGTGGGCGTGCCACTAAATAAAACAAAATTGACCCCGTATCTGCATGTTTCACTGCAAATGTTGGCGAAAGACGATAGTCTTGCGTCTGGAGAGAGTGAACAAAACGTTTATTTGATGTTCTGCGCGAGCAAATCGGTTGATGGTATTCTGGAGGCGCTGCGTTCGAGTGCCCCGATCCGTGCAGTGAAGGCGAACAAGCGCATCGAGGCACGTCACACGTGAGCGCTATCTTGCAGTTATCTTGGAAAACGAAGTGCGCGGCGTGCGCGCCCGTCTCGGAGGCGATAAGGTGTAGACCGCAAGGCGATGTGTAGGTGCCATCGCCGTGTCGTCTTGGCAAAGCGTTGGAAACAGTTGTCTTTTCGTGCGTAGTGTTGCATTGTCAGCGCACCGTGATGAATGCTAAGTCCTTTGAATTACTTGCGTATGCATTTTATAGTATAAAGAGACATACAAAAATATTGACATATTCTTATTGTGCCTCAGATATGCGCAATAACTGCTTTTTAATTGACAATCGCACAAGTCTGAACCCTGAAACTTGAGCAAGTGTTGATGGGCGCTGCGGATGGGGTTAGATTTTGGCTGTTTCGCGTATCGTTTCGGTGGACAAACAGACAAGTTCACCGACAGACAGACCAAAATTTTTGCGTCGAAGGCAGAAAGACTATCGTCTTCAAAAGTGATAACGCCATACTCCTATCAGTTCCTTTTGGTATCTCCAGTGTTAGTCTTGACGTCACCGAGAAAGTCTGGGGACGTCAGCAGCAGCAGCAAGAACCTGTTTGTCTGCCAGCAGTTACGCGCACTTGTTGCTTTTCCTTCTCGTACGGCGAAGAGAAACTTGGGCCAGGGTCAGAAACTAACTAATGAAAGGGAAGTAGCGAGGGAAAGGGCGAAACGAGCGAGGGCACTGCATTTAGAAATTCAAACGCGTGTAACTCCGCTATTGCAATGTCGTTTCGAAAAATTCTCGCGGCAACGTGTTCGTTGTAGACTCGTGCAACATCTGCAATGCCGGAACTAAATTCGGACCTCTGGGTTGTTTAGGGGCCCTTTAACGGGTGCTCTTGCATATCGCCTTGTCGAAATGCGGCCGCCGGTGTTGGTCTTACTGGCTAAGTTGGTGCACGCTGGTTAAACCGTTAAAGGGACACGAAAGAGGAACAACTGCTTGGTTTCGATTATATATATATATATATATATATTATATATATATATATATATATATATATATATATATATATATATATATATATAGTATGTGTGCAGCCCAGCTCAGCCGAAGCTTCTTCGTTGACCCATGAGGTGGCTCTAGGAGTTCGTTGTTTAGGCTGGACCTATAGACGCATAGTAAATGTCAACGACACTTATAAGCACAACTTATTTGAGACGTACCCATCAACAGCTGAACTGTTGCGGCTTCATGTGCGGCGTAAGACCACTTACTTGAGAAGGGCTTGAAACAGCTGCCAGGGAGATAAGCGGTAAGCCACATACGTTCGCTCGATCGACATGCGTGCGTATCAACGTTATACGTTGGAGCGTACGTTGGCAATGTGACGAGACGGGCTGCCAGCGGTATTTAGTTACTATGCCCAGCTGCTTGGGCATCCGTTCACCGCTGGTTTGAAAGCTTACCCACGCATGCACTCCCATCAAAACTGATAATACTGGTAGAGTGGACTAGAACAGTACACTCCAATGCTAGTATCAGTTATGTAAGAGCTCTTTGTTGTTGTTCTATAGCATGAAACTGCGTAATCAATGCATTTTCGTTTGTATTTACAACCGTGACAATGCACAAAACAATTAGGACGTTGGTCACAGGCGCGTGCGCACGTGGGGCAGGGTCGAAAACAGAATGCTACCAGGGGTTGTGAAGATTCTTTCGTGCTAATTTTTGACGTCACGACACGAGTGGTGTTTAGCGAA